CACACACACACACACACACACACAAGCTAGGTCTTGATTATTAGTATTAAAGATGAAAGTGTTTGAGGACTGACCGTGCTATGATAAAAATGAGACAAAAGGCGAAGTAGAAGACAGCGGTGAAGAGGTACGCCAAGGGGATGTTGTAGGAGAAGTTCGTGTCGTCCACCATTGTGTTGTTGTAGTAGCCATAAAACATGTATGAATACTCCATAAAACCCTGTACAAAGAGCAGAGGACAGTCACTAAGCATGTATTAAATGTTCCTTGAATGTGGTTTTAATGTACTTTCATCAGCAGAAAATATAATAGATGCAGAGCTGTAGCTGCTATTGTAGACACTGAGGTCATGTCCACTGTATTTTGGGGTATGTGGAGGATTTTTGGCATATTGATCATCAGCTTTTATTTTGAAATATAAGCCTCAGCTCCAGTATATCCCTTTTTGTAGTACCACTCTCGTGTCTGTCTGGTAAATATGGAGCTGGAGGCCGGAAGCATGAGCTTAGTTTAAAATAAAGACAGGAAAACAGCTAACATGTCTCTGTCTGAAGGTGACAAAATACACCTACCAGCACCTCTTTACTCACTAATTCACATTATATCTTGTTTGCTCTTGGCAAGAAAATTACATCTTACATATGTCACTGTGTTAGTATTTTTGTCTAGAATCCATTAAATAGTATTGAGATAATTATCATTAAAAAAAAGCCACATGTAGGACTCTTGACCTCAGTATTTCTACAGTCTTATATAAACATAAACATATACAGAAAGCCAAAGGTGTAAAGAATCACAATGTCTAATAATAATAATGTTTCGCTTTATGTTCTGATAGTCCCACATCTGATGCTGCAGTTTCTCACCGTTCCCGAAAGTAAGTCAAGGAAGTAATTATAGAACAGCACCAAGCCTTGAGGATTAGGGTCATATTCCATGCATTCCTCTGGACCTAGAAAACACCACAATGTGAAAGTGTTATGATCTCTGCATGCCTTCTCAGAGATTACAGTATTTCTATAGGTTTCCCTGCACCTCCCTGAACATATGGGCCATGTAGTCTAATGTTTTAAGACTGGAAGAGGAGAGTAAAAGCTGCAGTGGTGATTAAATGCAGGTCTGTGGCTCACTTGATAGCAGAGGCAGAGGGTCTTAATCCCTGCACTATCATCCAGATAAATCACACAGCTTTAAAAAAATAAAAATCAAAGGGTTTTGTTTGATTAAATGAGTAATCCCCCATTTGACGCATGCTCTTGTTAAAATGACTGAGGGCAAAAATGTTAATACTGCTGGGAGAGTAGGTAGGAAAGCTTAAGTTCCTGGTCCATGTTAAAATGTTTCAACATTATAATTTCTATATTTCACACATACTTACAGATGAATCTCAGATAATTACATTGTTATTTGGATGTCATTTTGGGAATAAATCTTCTGCTCATGCACCAGTGATCATTTCTTCATTTGATTTCTGAGGGGAATACTACGACTGCTACTCTCCACATTTACTCCAGCCTCTGAGGCCGCCGGGCTGTTGCCTGGAAACTGTTGCAGCAAACTGAGCGAGAAGGCTTCCTGTTTTTATAAGAGAGAATTTTTGCTAAAACGCCACGTACAACATAATGTACCACTGTCATGTGTTACCCTCAAGTTAAAACAAAACGCAAAGTCGTGAGCTAACAAACTGTAGTAAGTCATTACCGGTGCTGTTAACAAGGCCGGTGCCAACAGATCTGAAGACAATGCTGGGGATGAGGACAAATCCAGCAATCAGTAGAAAGGAAACAAAATTGAGGACCACCAAGAATCGCAAGAACAGGAAGAAGGACTGGACGCCACCTCCAAAGTTCCCTGTGGGGTCAAAAATGTCATGAACTTTGACCATATTATGCGTGGAGTAACTTTCAAATATCCAGCTGAAATTCACAGTTTACCTCCAATCTTTTGCAGAGACTTGCTCCACAGTGCGAAAAGGTAGAGAAATTCTCTGGTGTTGTCTTTGAGTTTACGCAGAGATTTGGCCTTGTTCCGTTTCCATGACTCCCTGCTGGAAACCACAGGAACCTGCATTTGCTGCACCTGCCTGTAATGAAGTTACATTTTAATGACTCTGGAGTAACTATTGTGTCATATAACTATTGGCAACACATTATTTTACATTTCCTCAAAATAAATATGTAATTGATTGTTCAGTTTAGTTGATATATTTCAAATTAATTAATTCCAATTAATGGTAGCTTATAGAGAGTGATTCAGACGGTTCACAGCAGGTAGCTGAACATGTGAACAATGTGAACTCTGTGGAAAAAAATATGAAAAACATAAAAGGAGTATACGGTCTAGACCTGCTCTATTTGAAAAGTATCCTGAGATAACTTCTGTCTGAATTGGCGCTATACAAATAAAATTGAATTGAATTGAATATAAGGAAAATAAAGTTTCCAATAATAAAGGAAGAAGAATATATAAGTTTAAATTGAGCTTTTCTTTCAAAAACTTTCCTATTGTGTCTATAATTTGTACCAAATTACATAGTTCTTATCAATTCGGTATAATAAATTGTGCATACACATTATGGTTTTCCCCCATGATACCTTCTAGGCTGTGTAAGTTTGCTATATTTGACAACGACAACAATTTAAATAAACATAAATACAATACTTTTACATACAATTATGGTATAATGCTAAAAAAAATAATGTTAAAATAACACTTTAATGATGCACCTTAACTCTAAGACATGAAGTATGTTTTCATCCCCAACCAATTATATAACACATTTCCCAACAGCAAATCAGGAGTCTACTTTATTTATTACCCTTTTCAAATAATTTTAGTGATTTTCTCAGTTATTATTTTCCTAGTAATGGATCAAGTCATTCTAAAACATTATTGCTTGTATTATTGCTAGTGTGTGTTTATGTGAGCCTGTTGATAGAGTCCAAATTAAATCAGATATGTCTGTGTGCAGAGAGAATATTGAGCTGTTACAGAAACGACCCTGTGACATTTCTGTCATATTGATCTCTGTCCCCCTCCACTCTTGTAGGTATGGGCAGGATTTTATCACAACTAGTTTTGGCAGCCAATTGTGGTCCAACCATAGAGCGTATAATTAAAAATGGACGTAGTCTCCGTAACGTCGCCCATATGTGGCGTGTGGGTGGAGCTGAGGCCAGTTGAGCCTGTTACTGAAAATAGCCGCCTGTCTGTAAACATGTTTATTTCTGCTGTAAAGTTGGACATTTTAATATAGGGCCTTATGGAGATTAATCACTTCTGTAGCCAGCCTCGAGTCAGCCTTTTGTTACTTCCCTGTTGGCTTCATTTGCCGCTTTGGTCCAATATGAAAGTCACATAAGGGGAAACTTAAACCTCTCTCTAAGTTCTGGTCTTCACCAACTTCTGAGGGAACTCTCTTTATCTGCTAAATACTCTAATATGTTCACTAACTGTGTCTGTCTGCAGTTTGCTGCTGAGCACGTAGTGTAACGTGAGTTTTTAGAGATTTTTGCATAAAACAGGAGTCTGTTGTGGGTGAAAACGAGGTTGAGAGCACTGAGAGTGAAACCAAACAGTGAAGTTACCATAAAACCAAAACAATGAGCTAAAACTCGCTATAAAGACGGGAGAAGCTCCAGATTCAGATGATCTTTCTCTGTAGGTTCATCACTCTGAGCAACTCCTTTAACAGTGTTACATTGTTTTCATTTAATATATTGTTATTATAAAGAATCTTATAACTGATTATAGTTGCTTTACATTATATTTCAAAGCAGATTCAGAACACCACCAAACTTTCAGAAGCAGCTTTCATACCGCACAGCTCTTTTCAGCGCCATGTGCAGAGGACTGCTCCTGAGGTCCCGGGGCATCTCACTGCTACCCTCTACATCATCCTCTGCGGGCGTCGAGCTCCAGTTGAACTGTGGGTAATTCTGATTGGACACTCGAGATGAAACCTGTCGTGACCTCAGTGACTGCTGGTCACCATGGTAACCATTCCCTGTGAGTGAGTGAGTGAAGGACAGAAAACAGCAAAGACAATTATTAATATTTCACAATTCAGTCAGATTAAAGATGAGTCCATATCAACAGTAACAGTAATTATGTAGATATTCAGAGGATTCAGATATAGTCAAAGTGTTTTAAATCAACAAATATGTACAAGTAAATGTGATCAGAGGTACAAAAAAAAACAAAAACAGACACACCTCCAGTACGGTCATACAACTTACTTGAGCCTTGTCTCTGTATTTCACTGTCCATTTCTCTGATGCTGTTTCACACGACCAGCTTTAAAGACTCTCCTTTCTAACGGCATCCAATAGTTTAAGTTCAGAATTAAAACTATACGCAAACCAGCTTTTCACAAGGAAGTGCTGCCTAACCAGGAATCCCTTCCCAGTTGTCTTCTCTCACGGACTTTACTCCCTGTGACAATGACCACACAGGTACTTCCTTGTATGATTTAACCCCTTATTTCCAAGGGGATTGTAACCAGTCATTTAACAATTTGCACGGTCTAATAACCAGCCAGAAGAAAAGAAGAACAGAGCAAGCAAACGAGTTAAACAAAGTAATTTTGGGTTATTAACAGGTTCACAGAAGTGTCTTTGAGTCTACTGAAATTATTTTGCTGAATTTTAATTGTTCCAATAATGGGAACAAATTAACTTTACCATATAAATGTGTTCAAGTTTATATTATGAATTCACTAGCCACAAAATGTTTTATCAAAGGGGTTTAGTTAACCACATATACTGGCTCTTAGCTCAACTGAAACCCACGGCTGTGGTTGCAGGTGTGTTTGCATTCTCTATTGCTGGAGAGTTAATGATTTCCCAGTCTGACAACTGAAAAGATGTGATGTATGAAAGCCTTTACTCCCGGGCTTTATCTTAATAACCTCCACAAGCTAATAACAAGCCTCATAATTAACAAATAATTAATAGATAATCACAGTAGGTAGATATTAAAAAGAGAAAAGACAAGTGAGGTGAGGAAATGTTGATATGTATTCCACAAGTAACACTTTTACAAAGCAGGGAGTGTTACAGTCGGTACAGTATGTGAAGCCAAGGACAACCCCAAACGGACAAAAAAAGGCTGAAAAATAAATAGTCTGAAGACGAGCAGTCAACAGAAGGTCTAAAACCATCACAACCTTCACCGTGTAATAATAAAAACAAAGGGACCCATTTTATAACAAGGGTTGAGGTTTGGCACAGAGAGGGTAAAAGGCAGAAGCATAACACAAAATCAATTTGTGACCCAAATTATCTAGTAACATTTGGAGAACAAAACACATCGGGAGATAAGAGCTTTCAATTCTGCTGTCAGTCATGCTCATATAAAACAGATTCAGTACAGTTATCACAGTTTGAGACAGGAATGAGTGAAGGAACTCTCTGTTATTCAACTAATACACAGTGTACTGAGGTTAGGGCTGGGTGATAGATATTATCACAAAATGAGATCATCCCAGAAATGTCTGCTGACAATATAAATGTTTAGTCACATGTACTGCAGTTTATTAAACATCACTTTGATTATTGTGTAAATGATGTTGCATGCATCACTTTTGCATGCACGATTTCAACCCTATCTCCCAGCGCTAGCTGTGCAGTTATTCACGCTGTATGTTGGCAGCTTGTAGTTACGATGTGAAACCTTTTGTAACAAATGTTTGGTCCCAACCCTGAATGGTCCATGATGGCAGTACAGACATGTTGGCAGTGAAATCTTTCACATGGCGCACTCTTCACTGAATGCAACACTGCTATAGAGACGTCAGTGCATAATATTCTGGATATGATCTGAATCGCTTACAGGCAGGCAAACAACAGTGAGGAAACAAAAAAAACCACTCCAAACAGAGAAAAGCATTTTGGATTCACTGGATCAGGGAAGTAAACACAAAAATGTTGAGCACATAAAATGGGAAAAGTTATAATGCTGAAAATATTTGAGGTTACTTAAAACTAATCCTAAAACACTGAAGAATGTAATTATGCTGCAATACGAATGTTGTCAGGACTTTCTTTTGCTCCTTTAAACGTAAACCAGTTTGAATTTTAACGTGCACCATGATGCTTGTACTTCTCTGCTTAAAGTGAAATTATGTTCACAAATAACAAATTCTACTTTTACATTGCAACTTAATGTATTTAACTATCACACAAACATATTTCTACTTACTGTTTAATGTGGTCAAAAACAGTCAAGGTGCAGTTTTAAGATGCCAAATGGCAGCAATGTTAATTAGTTCTGTAAAATTAATCAACTGGAAAACTTTGATAATGCTCTCTCACTCACACACACACACTCACACACAGAGAAATCTGACTGGTATCATCACACATGTGACAGCTGAGCCCTAATGACGATACCATCATAATGTTTTTTCCATCACAATCTATTCATTCTGTACTCCAGTTGAATCGAACTGTACAGTAACATAATAGTGCTGGAATGTTTTGTTGCTTATGGAAACTGTGCCAATTTAATCACATTCAATTTGCTTCTCTTTTAATTATTTAAAAGATCAGGAGGGGTTATTGTTTGACTCACCCTACAAAAAGAAGGACGTTGACATTTCAACAACCTCATTCCGACCAGTAAATGCAGTTCACTTAAACTGGGCATGGTGTCTTGAAATTGAAAGCACACGTACTATACAGACGCACAGATGAGGGAAGTGAATTACCTATTTACACCCCAGTTGCCACTCACACTATAAAAGTAACATTCATTGAGCTCAAATATTCCTCTCCCAGTGTTCACAGTACACACAGCAACGTCTCCAGTGGTAACCTTTTTAAATGGTATTTTACATGTCTTTCATCTGATTTACTGCATTTTTAATAAAAATCTAGTTGCACTTTTACATTTTCCCCAAAAAGAAATCTAATTGGACCTGTTGCTAGAAAGAGAGAAAGAGAGAGAGAGAGAGAGAGAGAGAGAGAGAGAGAGAGTTGGTGCGATCAATGCTGAAAATTATGTTCTTGAAGTAACTCCCCCTCATGTTTCAAAAAAGTATCCAACCAGTTCTTTTCTGTACCTCCAATTCAGTCTGTTTTTTCTCCGGTTTTCTCTTTCACATTTTCTACTCTCTCTCCCTCTCTTTTCTCCTCCTTGTCCCCTCTCCTACCTTCCCTTTTCCCTCCCTTCAGGGCCCTGCCGACTACTATGCAGCAAACGGCGATGATGTGCATGATAAAGTAGATGGACGTCCAGTAGTTGATGGTGTCAGAGGCCTTCAGCAGCACGAAGCCCATGCACATGTAGTCGTAGGCCCTCATCTTCAAGAACCAGTGAACCCAGTCGAAGATGTTCTGTCCCCGGGGACCCAGTTTAGCTCGGACAGAGGCCTCCATGGCGGACTCGGCTGCGATGCACAGTGGGATGGTGAGGAAGGAGAGGTAGTAGCCGGCATGTAGTCCGTGCCAGTAGGCACTGATGAACATGGTCCAGCCAGCCCTGCGAGTTACAGACAAACAGGAGAGATGAGTCATACAGACACAACACTGTGAGGGTTTCTGTCTTCTGTCATTTGATTTATTTGAGGTTACAAATTAAAAATGCTACATCAGGATGGATTGTGTTGGTCTTTCCTTTAAATTGTCACCCATCTGCAGCTTATTTTCTGTGCCATAAACTTCCATTGTTATCCAAAAACTATTAAAAACACACGAATGAGCCACAATGTTACACTGTTCCTCCATTACTATGAACACTGACAGTGTTTTCAATTGCTCCCTCTAACACCATCCTGCTGCTGGAAATACTCACTAATGAACCAAATTCATTACTGAAAACAGTCCTAAATGCACAATTTACTCCTACTTGAGAAATGTTCGCTATAAACTACAGTGCCCAGCTATTATAAGACTTTCTTTTAAATAAAAATATATCTTTGTGACCTTTTTAAAAAAAAGATTTGCATATTCAAGTTCCACAGAAGAACTGAGAAACAATGTTGGTTTTGGTTATTTGCTCATGGGATTTAGTGACAATAACTAACATGCTTATTATTTAACTTTTTACTTTATCAGCCAACAACAGAATTAGCTAGAATCAGTTCTCTTTTGTGTGACTTGAAATAAAATTATGTATGAGAGGTTCCCTGAAGGAAATTCCCATTTAAAGATCCAAGCTGATTAGTAACAAGAGAGAATGCTCTAAAATCTGGAGATACTTGCTGATAAGATTTTATCTCACTGCAGAGGCCGCATGAAGGCATTTTGATACTCAAACACACCACACAGACATTTATTCTTGTAAAATAAGCTGCTGCACACATAAAGACTTACCTGAGAGTGTAGGCTTTGAAGGGGGAATTGGGGTAGATGTAGTGATGCAGCCACCACTGCACCGTCATGTTCCAGTAACGCATGCCATGACGGACCTTCACACAGAAGTCGGTATTGTAGCAATCAATGTTCTGGATGGTTTTGAAGTCATATTTCTCCTCAGCGGTGGGGTCGGGACTGGGGAAAAAAATCCAGAAAAAGAGAAAACAATTTGACATAAATACAAACTTTCAACAGCGAAAACATGAGTGAGCAATAACTGATTCATCCTCTTCTAATATTTAATTTAATACTTGTTAGTCCTGTGAAAATGTACCTGTAGGTGACAGTGGGTCCTCCTCCGGGTTTGGACTGTGCCTTTTCTGGATAGCAGCCCAGACCGGCACTGATACAACCCGCCTCAGCTCCACACCACGCTGCATAGAAACGCATCCTGAACACGAAGAATACTGCTATCATGTAGAACAACCTGGTGATAGAGGGTGAAACAGGGAGAGCGACAGGTAAAGTACATTCTTCCTCTTTATCAAACAACTGCAGGGACATTACTACGACATTCAACCCTAAATAAGTGCTGTGCCCTCCATAGTTTGTAACCTCTGACTTGATAGGAATCATTTTTTACTTTCCTAATCCACAGCATTGTTCTATTTATTTCATCTATGCTTTATATTCTACACTTTGTACAATATGTTTACTGCAGTTTAAGTTAACTGGCTCCCAGCACAATGTAGAGAATATTCAAAAATATTATTCACCACATTTAAAAAATAGTTTTGACTATATAAGTACATAGTATTCTTTTGTCAAAAAAAAAATAGGTTATTCCAGCAACAACTATTTGCTATGTCAATATGTAGTAGAGTGATGTTGTCCTTAGCAGAGAATGACATGTCAATATCACACTCCCTCTTCCTGTGTTGACCCCTGAGCATTGTTTACTTCCCCGATCCGGTTGAGCGTGAATGTTAGTGCATGTAAATCTCTCTGTGTGCAACTGTGGGCTTTGAGTAGAGTGACTGAGATGGCTGTTTTTGTCAAATAACTCGGTGAATTAAGGGTTTATTTTAATCAAAGCAGAGTTGTTGATTGTTGTTGAAACAGTGAAAAGACTAACAAAGGCCGCTTTGGTGAGTTTTATCTTGTTTTTCGTGTGTTTTATGAACCGGGAGGTAAAATGATTGTTTTTGTCAATAGAGTCTGGTGGGCCGCAGTACTCTTTGTTTTTGTCTGCTGGTATTCTAGTGAGACATCTAGTCTGAAAGTCGTATAAAGCACCTTTAAATTCAATTAAATGTATTCTTCTCTTAGTATTTTAACTAATACTATTGTACTGTATGCAGTTGCTCACACTTTCATTTTATCTATTATTACTATCTTAATACAAATAAATGATGCAATAATGATATGATGATGACTACATAATCACAACTCCTATAACTGACATTATCAGGGCAGTAATGCATTGAAACAATACCGAAAGAAAAAGTTTTCATCCAGGAACTCCTCTGTGCGAACGTAGGCCAGTGGAAAGATGGAGTTGACGCCCAGGAAAAGAGCGCCATAGACGGGAACCAGCTTTAGACGCTGCAGGCACGGCTCCCAGGCAGGCAGGGCCTGAGGGCTCGGCTGCCTCAGCCAGTCAAAGTACGTTTGGAAGCGGAAGAACGGACCTTTAGGGAGATGGAGGGATGAGATACAGGAGCGTTCAAAAGACAATGATAGACAAAAAGGGAAAATCGGAATAATGCGAGACACAAAAGGAAGCAGTAGAGGACGGCGTGGTTCAAAAGACGAGAGGGTGTTGTTGGACAGGAGAGGGGAGTAAGAAGATAAAAAGAGAGAAGAGGTATATGAAAACCACAAGTAATCTTAAATAATACTGAAAACAATGTGGACTCACACAATGTTGGACAAGTAGCGGAGAGTGAGACAAAGAGAGACAACAGTTAAAATTCATGCAAAAGCAAATCAACATCAACAACAATGAACATGAATATAACCAGCTGGCACACAAACATAATCCTGACACGTGACAGACGTTTCCACAGACTTACCGGTCATTATACCGACATAACAGTAGCTATAGGACAGAATGTCGTAGAGAGAGGGCTCCTGAGACAGACCTCCAATGACAGGAGACTTGGCAAAAGAGCTCACTTCCTTTTTCTTCTCTATGTGGAAGCTTTGCACCTCATTGGCTAGACTCACCATCTGAGTTAAAAACAGAAAGATACATCAAAAGTCAACAAAGACGCACAAATTCTTAAGACTCACACAGCCTGTAAAGACTGTTTGTTACAGCAGCAATTTATCCACCATACCTTGAGAGTGAGGAGTAGCTGGACAGCATTGGCAAAAGGCGTCGGTGGTGGCAGCCCGAACCAAGTGACCATCCGGAAGAAGAGGAGGTAGAGAAAGGTCCAGCTGAGGCTCAGTGCTGGGGCATGCCTTATAGACAGAGACACATGGGTTTACATGTTGTGTCTGCACCATACCATCAGTAAACACTGTAATAAGGGTGTTACAGGTGTTTGTTTAATCTGCGGGTATTCTGATAATCGGCTCTTTGGCTCTCAAGTTTCATATATGATAGTACATTGAATACTTTTGGGTTTTGGACTGTTGATAAGGCAAAAACAATACAATTTCAACACATCATCTCATGGTCTGAGAAAGTGTGGGGAGCATTTGTCTGTTTATTGACATTTAATTGGCAGATTGATCAATAAAAATACCTTTCAGGCCTGCTGTCCTGACTTTGGTACTTTGCGTTTGTAACATACAGTGAAACAAGTTTGGTAAAAGCACAGATATTCGTCTCTCACCGCCAGCTGCTCTTTATAATAATCCATGTTCCAATCACCGTCACCAGAGAGTGGAGTGTGTGAATGTGACAGGTAGTGATGGTGATAGAGAGGCCCAGAAGAAGAGCTGCCCCCTGCTTCACAGGAGGACCTGAAGTGAAAGAAAAAACATACAATTAAGCTACATATACCAAGAAGTTATACACACACACATATAAAGGATGTGGATATAAATGGGCTGGTGCAACCCCAAACACAGCAGGCATATCAACATTTCTCAAAAGTGTACAGTATGGAGAGCAGTTTTTGTGACTCATAAAACATGTGTTTACACTTTATACAGGGGTCTGCCAATCACCTCTTACATATTTAAATACATGTTTTCATAACAATAACGGACAGTCAGAGCTAGCGTTGCAGGTACATCTGATAGGTGAAGAAAAATGTTTTTAAAATCTATAAATAAATAAATATATAAACTGCAGTCGCAGAAACACGAGACTGAGGCTGTGAAGCATACACACAGGCTTCACATCAGGTTAAAGAGCACAAACCCCTGAACAAAAGAAAGGATTAATTAAAGTCTTCTTTCACTATCATTCATAGTCTCCCAAAACACCAGATTAAACATCACTAATCCTTAATAGTGGGCTATGGAGCAGAGACTGCTAAGAAGATTTCCACTTTCTTCATCCCTTCATAGAAGAGGAGGCTTTCCTATAAAGAAACAGTCCCATATCCTATTAGACACCTTTCAGGATATGTATGATCATTGGATTGAAGCTGTAGATGAAGAGCAGCCCTCCTCTTTAGTACACACACAATGTTAAATTGATACTGTTTGGTATTTTGTATGTGAATAAATATAAATCCCACAATGCAAAACAAGGCAACAACTGTAAGAAAGGAGCTTGTGCCTTTTAGAGGACAAATATAAAGACAAATCTTATTTCACATAACAGCATTAGCCAATAGAAAAATAAATAACATTTAAAAATGTTGCTTCTTATGTTTGAAATTCATATACGTCTGTAACTTGGGTTAGAAATCTAACCCGATAGAAATACTCACTGAGGTAACGGAAGAGGAATCCAATGGGAATGGAAGCAGCAAGAATTCCCAAATACACCAGCTCATCAGGAGACATCTCTCTGTCGGCACAGACACACAGATCAGCTCCAGACTTTCTCTTATAGGAACTACACACATCATTAATAAATAATCCTTAATTATGAGTGAAGAACACACAGAGCAAAGCACGACGGACACAATGAAAGCAACTGAATCCATTCTAACAAGTGCTCTTTTTATGGAGATTGCATCACATATGCATTTATTAGTAGGTAACGTTAGTACACATTATTTTGCAAACTAGTTACATACAAAAGTAGTGGTTGGGACACAGTTACACCACTGAAGTCTGAGGAAATATTATTAGTACTGTCTGTTTTTCCATGAATCATTTCTCTCCTCACTGGCAATTTTTTGCAGCCACACCTTGTTTATATGTCTTATTATTAAAAGATTTCTTTTATCTACCATTTGCATTTGTAATTGTGAGATGTAACTTACGCAGCCACAATAAAGATAAAATCTTCAGGGTGTATTTCACAATAACTTCTCAACTGAGGACATTTCCGGTGAGTTACATGCAGCAGCAGCTTTTAACACTGCTGCAGACATTAGTTTGAACGCTGGTCGGATAAAAGCTTTGATGAAGAGACGAAATGCAAAAAGGACAACACACGCCAATATTAACGTTACATAACACGGAACAGCATGCGGGAACTTACTGCTCCTGAATACAGTGCCACAGGAGAAAGCTGGGGCAAACAGCTGCTTCTTTGAGCACTTCCATTAGGTGTAAGTTATAAAGTATAAATGAGTTTAGTGTAATTCACTCAGGACTTAAAACATCAGCTCAAAGCTCACCAACATGCGTCCACAATCACTCCCTTCAAAAAGCTTCTTCCAGGTGACTTCACTTTAAACTAACAGCAACATAAGCTCACAGATTATGGCCGTCTTTATAATGTCGTGATAGATGATTAAAAACAGCAGCAAATACCGGGTTGTGAGAGGTTAAAGCGCAGTGTGGATGTATTGATCAGTACAGGTATGTAGCCAGTGAAGATAGCGGTGCAGACGTTACCATGGCAGCTATCACCGGAGAGCGACCGTTAAAATGAGCGACCGTTGGTTTAAACGCTTTCCTCTTACTTACATTTATAACGTGTTCAATCACCGCGGTTCAATCACGCTCCGGTCTCCGGGAATAAAGCTCGTACATCCAACGACCCATTCACACCGCTAGCACAGGAGCAGCTCACTTCCTGGTTCATGTAAAATGACGTCACGTGGTGAACGTAGGCGGAACCATTCCAGCTGTAAGGGGGGCTGGACTGTACCATTCTGACTTTTAGAGTTACACTACTAAACCGCAGGCTTTCAAGCTTGTGAAGTGACTCACTTCCTTTAGTATGCTGTAATTATATTTACACCTTTTATATGCACTTCATTATGTGACAGTATTAATTACAACTTCTATTCTAAAGAAAAACAAATACAACTCAGTTCTCTGGTCAGACCAAACATTTTTATTGAAATTTTTTTTGACAGGACAGGAAGTATCCGCACACACTCCCTGGACGTCATCCTTCTTAATCTTCCTCCTCGTCGTCGGCTCCTCCAGCTCCACCCTGGCCCTTCTTGGCGTTCTTTCTCTTGACGCGGCCCGGGCGTCCGCCACCGTACGGAGACCTCAGGGAGAAGTCGATGTGCTTCTGGCTGTCCAGGCGAACCACAAAGGATGGGATGTTCACCACCTGCTTGCGCACACTGCCAAGACAGATAACGAGGGGAGGAGTTTAGAAAACACTCAAATAAGTCCATGTCACATATTTTATAGTAAATTTTAAACATGAAGATGGGCTAGTGCCATCAATTTACTGCAGGCTTCATTGACGAGGAATTCTTGACACCACAGAAAATCTGAACATATTAGCTTAAATCATCAGCCTGAGTATTTGCTACAATCACAACACGAGGTGTAGTGAACACTGTAATTGCCCGAGGTGCAATCCCCCATACCTTACCTGACAGCCACCACACCTCAGTGGCACAGTCCCAGCCCTCTGCGGCAGGATTGGCTCTGGGCAATGTTTACTGACAAGGTATACGGTTTTGATACCGAATTGACCTTGCTGAAAAGTTTAACTGATCTCAGCGGACGGCATTACAAGTTGACGGTCCTCTGATGGAAGAGGAAGCATTGAGAGATTCTCAGAAGACTGCGACCCCCTTTATTATCTGCTGTTGTTCCACAGGAGCCTTAGAGCTTACCGAATGTGCCTCTGACGGATAAGGACACGGGCATGGTGGATGCTCTTGGCAAGTCCCAGCTTGAAGACCTGTGTCTGCAGCCTCCTCTCCAAGAAGTCTTCAACCTTCAGACCCAGGATGTAATCGAGCTTCATCTTACCCTCGTCCAGCACACCGATCCTCACCAGACGCCTGAGCAAAGCATTACCTGGAAGACGACACAGCGGCCATTTACCAAAACATACAGGTACGTATACAGAGCATGTGGCAATTTTATAACAATGGCCTCATTCACGAGGAATTCTTGACACCATAGAAAAGTCTGACAAGTGATAGTTAAATCATCGGCCAATATACTGATCAAGCCTGTATTTGAATTTACCTTCAAACAGACGCTTGGGGTCCTTCTCGTCAAGAGTCAGCAGCTCTCTGGCAGCTTTACGGATCTTGGCCAGGGTGAACTTGACCCTCCACACCTCACGCTTGTTCCTCAGTCCATACTCGCCTTTAAAACAGATGGGAGAGTAAACAATCAAAGTTCATTTTCCAGCCTCGTTTTCTGCCCAATGGTGTATAATAAAACACAACATACCAATGAGTTTCAACTCCTGGTCGAGACGGGACTTCTCGAAGGGACGGCGGGGGGTGACATATGTCTTGCGACAAACCCAACTTCTGGCAACGGGCATGGCGGCTTAGAAGTGCCTGCAACATCAGAACATTACAGACATTAAGTTATACAGTAAAAATAATAAATGCACAACAGAGGGATAAAATATTCACAGCAGCAGTTACAACTAGACTATAATCATAAACTGATAATCTCTATTCAGATTGAATGAACTTCATTATGTAAGAGTTTTTCCTTCAAACTGCAGCCAAATGAATTTTACAAGACTAAAGCATACTGACATATACCTCAAAATACCCTCATGTGAATAGTAGTAGTTTAAATGTAGTTTATCACAGGACCGTGGATCCTAATTCAATGTGGTATTAACGTTTGAGTCGCTGCTAAACCTCCCGAGCACTTAAACCGCTACAGTGCAATTAATTAAATAGTTTTGTAGCTGTAATAAATCATGTAAATGTGTGTGTCTGCCTCACGACTAGGCCTCATCTGCACCGCACCACGTTGTGCTATGTGACAAGCTAGCGTTAGCTTAGCTGAATTAGCTGTTCCCGTCAACAATTTACTACAAAATATTATCGGTGGTCGAACAACCGTGTTCCCCTTCACTGTCCGACGGCTCCTGGTCGCTAAAACGGTATAAAAGCGGCATGTTTGCGTTGTAAAGTAGCATGAGGGCGGCAGTCCGTACCTGTCTCGCTCAGGCTCGCGCAGTAAAGAGGACGTTAAAGGAAGTTGCCGTTTACTTATAGGGCCGACTTACGCACTACATATCCCATCATGCACCTCTGCGCCCGAACGGAAGTTTGAATGTAGGTCTTGTCGCACTCTGTTGGTCACACAGAAAACAACAGGTGCAAACCAGTCGAGGTAGCTTCACATATACTGTTTGTGTGTTTGTTTGTTTGTGTGTGTGTTTTTTAACTTATTGTAGCAGTGTTTGTCTCTGTAACATCTGTCAACACTTATCACTGTCACTTTTTTTTTTTTTTTACACTATTTAATACAATACTTGCACTATTAGTACTGGACAGTTCACATACATATTTTGATATACATATATAGATTATATTTACGCTGAGTGTCTGCTGTATATATATATATATTTATATTTGTTGTGTTGTTTTTACACCATGCCACTACCTCCTGCTGTAACCGGTGCAATCTGCCAAAAACAATCACATCTGTATACAAGCTGTATCTAGCTGTATATATTGTAGCTACATACAACTCTTATTTTTAGTTATTTCTATTTTTCATTAAATCTTGTTTTTTTTTTTCTATTCTATTTTATTTATTGTGTAAGATCTACTTTTCTTACCTGTTCTGTTGTATCTGGAGCTGCTGTAGCAAGTGGATTCCCCCAGTGTGGGATCAATAAAGTCTATCTACTGACCTGCAGATGTGTGTGAATCATAAATATGATTCATGTTGTCAAATACCTGAAGATGATGACAGACTTTCAGCTGTTAGTCTAAACTATGGGACGTACAACTTTTGGGGTACACAAAGAGTCAAATGACCTGCTTTTGGATTCAGGGTATTCTCACTGACCTCCTGTTGAATAATCGGTTATTGTACAAGTGTGTGACATGTAGTGAGACATCTTGCATGACAAAGTGTGTAAGACTGAGGGTGGTAAGGTGGTAAACTCAGAGAGAAGGACATGGGTGACTATTTATATAACTCTGAAATGGGACCCTGAGCATGTGTTTCTGTCTGTCAGGCTGCATGATCAACTGATGGACACACAGAAGCTCACTTGCTTTCTCTTTCAGTGCTCTATATCCTGTCTTTTCCGGACAGGACGTCGGTTATTTTGTGGACTTTCTTTGTGTTTTCTTCTTTGACTAATCTGCAAGGTTAAATAAGAGTCTTAACTTTCTTTCCCCTCGCCCTCTTGGATCTCCTGTTTTCTCTTGTTGGGATTTTTTTCCTCTTTTTTTCCAGCCTGACTGCCAGCTCTCTTGTGTGCATATCAATCCTTCCTTTTCCCCTGCTCTCCTTTTCCTCCCATCTTCCACCGTTCCCTGTCTCCTTGTGCGTAGTGTTTGGGCTATGCTCTCCTCACCCACTGTGATACTCCAGCCTTATGGACTCCCTGTCTACCCACAGACAACCACATGCTACCCCAGCATAGTTCAGGTAATTTCTCCTTAACTTGCTCTGTAAACAAAGTCTCTCATCTTCTCAGTTACTGCACATACATGTTTATCTTCACAAGAAGGTATCATCAAATATCCAGTCTGTCAGGTATCTGGGAGTTTTATAGTCATTATTTGAGGTGACCCAGGATTCAGGGGTAGAAAATAAGACTGGATGTGTTATTATATGGATACACATTTGAACAAAATGCACAGTTGAATTAGTTTAGGGCTGCAACTAACAATTATTTTAATTACCAATTAATATACTGATTATTTTCCGAATTTATCAGCAAATTGCAGGTTGTCACGTTGAAATGTTTAATCTTTTTTATTTAAGAAATGAGCAAATATTCACATTTAAGAATCTGAAACCAATTAAGTTTTAGAAACGATTACTTGATGATCAATTTCTGTTTATTTCTGTTGATCGACTATCCCTTTCAGCTCTAAATGAGTGTTTATCTTAACAGCTAGCTCATAAACCAGGACAACATATCCCAGTGAGGAGAGACATGTTTAACTCACCAGAAGAAACCAAAGGACATTTATTTCCTTGAACTAATGAGTCACATCTTACATATAATTTAGTTTAAAGTAAGTTAAGTTATTGATTCCTGTAGGTGATAAATTACTTAGTAGTGTCTGAATATCTCATGCAAAGCAGCAGTCAGTGAGGCCTGATTGTATCTGGGCAAAGTACGCTGATTATGAAAGGTCTTATTCATTTAATAGTAAGGACACATTAGGGGTTATCTTTAGTCTAGTGGTCTCAGTGGTGCCAGCAAGTTGTACGTGTGTGTGTGTGTGTGTGTGTGTGTGTGTGTGTGTGTGTGTGTGTGTGTGTGTGTGTGTGTGTGTGTGTGTGTGTGTGTGTGTGTGTGTGTGTGTGTGTGTGTAAAGTGTCCCTGACATACCATTAATGCCACAATGCATCTGGTATTTCTCTACCTTGTCTGTGTGCTTCACACCAGCTGTATTTTTAGCACTCTCTCTCCTGAGCAGATAATCACAGGAGGAGATTCTGTAACCTATCTTGTTGTCTGCAGTCAGCTGTACTTAAAATAGGTGTGAAACCTGCCTGTTGTGCATTCAAATATTGAGTGTTTTACCTGTTTGAACATAATGTTCATATTCATTTATTATTTAAGAATATGTAGAGCGTAGGGCATATGTAAATCAGAGAGAGGTGTTATTTGTCATAGAGTTTTTATAGTTTTGTATTTTCTTTATTTTTATTTCTTTTATTTTAAAATTCAGTTTAGTTTCAGTTATTTTCCAGAGTGGGTTTGTTCGTTTCAGTTTAGTTTTTATTAGTTTCAGTGTTAGTATTGATCAGAATAGATATTACAAAACAAACAAATTGACTCACAGTCTCAACAAACCACCAAGCACCAATGCCTCCTCATGTTGGTTGTGTTGATAAATGTGACCAAATTGACTAAAACTAAAGACACCTCTGTACATTTGTATTTTATTTTAGTTTGTTTTTTAATACTGTTTCAGATAGTTTTATTTTTTTTTCTAAAAGTCTGTTTTTTTATCGAAAATGTTTTTTCACACCTAGTTTTAGTTTTTAGTTATATAATATAATATAATATAATATATAATGACCTTGGTTTGGAGGTGACTGGAACTAAAACAGAGTTTCAGGCCTGAGTTTTAAGACTGAGATATTTTCTGAAACATATTGGCACATGCCAAACTTTTTACTACTTTAAAACAATATATCTTCTAGGAAGGAGTCTTCCTTCAGCGGTTTTCCACAGACATTTCTGTTTGATTGAAGCGTAGCATCTGTTTGAAATCCTGTCAGGGACCTTTGTCACATGTCAGTTTTTTCCCTTCTGTTTCTCTCGTCTTAACTGTCTCTCTTCCTTTATCTCTCTTCATTATTAACAACCTAATAAAAGACAGAAATATCTTTTAAAATGCTATCGAAGGAACCTAAATAGAAGAAAGCAGGATGTAGAGAGTTAACGGATGAATGGGTGGAAAGAGGAATATTTGGTTTCATTTAAGAAGCTACGTGTTAGGCAACATTTGCAACTTGGCCAGCACTAAAAGGCCACATCTGCAGTTAGAGTCGTGTGTGTGTAAATCCCGTGGCAGCTGTCCCAGCAGGCACCTGGCTCAGAGTCGTTGACCTCTGACCACGCACTGACAGCTGAGGAGGGAGACGAGAGAAAGAGGGAACAAATGGAAATCAAAAAAAGCCTGCAAGGAGGAGAGGGGGGACACAAAGTCTGTCCGCCTGCTGACACTGTGATACTGAATCAGGCTGATAGTTGCAATCTGTGGGCATATAACAACAAGAGAGGGGAAATGGTGGCGATATCAGATTGTCTTATCTTCACTCATCTGTCTGTCACACATCGGTTGTGTCTCGAGTTAAATGGGAGACAATACAGGCACAAGTTAGTGTTTGGAGACATGTTCCAGCATGATACTGTAGCTAGCGCTGCCACGAATGGCTGAGCTGAGGCGTGACAGAGAATCCCTCCTTACAGCCGTACTTTCCACAATTAGACAGAATGACAACAACAAGCGTGAGAGTAGGAGTAGGCTCTTCTTCGTAATGTTTCACTTGAAATGAATTTACATTTCTAGTATGTCTTCACAAGCCTCACTAGTGTCATGGCTCAAGTGTCGGTGATGTTGTGTGTGTGTGTGTGTGTGTGTGTGTGTGTGTGTGTAATGTGTGTTAGAAGGATGAAACCCTTTTAACACACCATGAGGTTCACATTCATGTCTCCCTCTGGATGAATTGTAATAACTAAGGTTATCCTCTCTGACCCATCATCTAGCATTATCATCAACATTTGAATTGAATTACTACTGGTTTATGAACAAATGTTAGCTAAACTAAGATTGTTGACACTGACAACATTATACCTGCTTAAGAAATTGCCATTGTGAGTATATTTGCATGCTGATGTTATTATTTAGCTCAAAGCAAAGCTGTACCTATAAGTACTGTACAGAACATACACAACAAAACAAATTATTCCATTAGAAAGCAAAACATTCGTAGGTTACTATGATGAAATATTACAAACATAGCTGCAGTGTAATTAATGCTTTCCTCCACGTTCAGTGCTTGAAGTACACAGGTCTTAACACACACAGGCTGGATGCTTTACGTCAGATCCCTGTAACAAACTGAGGAATGAAAACGTTCTGTAATCTGTTCAGTCCAACCTGCTGATATTCTGCTGAGAATAACACAACAGAGGTCTGATGTAGTTATGTAAATGTAGCCAGCTGGAGAGTTTAGTTAAAGAACTTGATTCAAGGGGTTGACCTGTAGTGAATGTTCCTTCAACTATACTTCTTTATTGTACTGCATCTACATATCTCTAATTTTTCACACCTCTTGTGAGCAACAGCTGATTGAGAGATACACGAGAGGTTATGAAATGATAGTGGAGTGAGTTTTTAATTATGAGAAATCCTTCTAAATCCTAAAGCTGGCTGACAAACTTCTGGTATTTTGGATGTAAGGCAACACGTAGATATAAGTTTAACAGTCAGTCAGGATACAGAGACTGAATAACGTCTATAATCCTTTGATTATGCAAAACTATTAATACAGCAAATAAAAAAACATGCTTGAGTGAAGGAACAGTTTGACCTTTTGGGGAAATATGAGATGAACGGATCAATACCATATCTACAGCCAGCAGCCAGTTAGCTTAGCTTAGCATAAAGATAAATACAACAAATCTGGCAGCACCTTTAAAGCTCACTAATTACAATGTTATGCCTCATTTGTTTCCGTGCAAAATCCAAAGTGTAAAAACTGTAGACTAGCTGTTGTCCTGTGTTTCCAGTCTTTATGCTAAGCTAACCAGCTGCTGGCTGCGACATGAGAGTGGTAAATGTTAAACTGTTCCTTTAACCGTAAAGTTCTACGTTCAAAAATATGCTCCTAAAGTAGTTAAATGTTTTCAAAAGTACCTTATTACACTGTTATGTACGCTGGAGGGGAATTCAGTCTCACTGTGTCATATTGATTATGAAATAATTTGGGGATTTTCCAGGATTGGATTTTAAAAACCTAACCTAAAAGGATTAGAAAGATACACTAAACAATAAAGAACTAGTAATTTGATTAATTACATTTGACTACAGCACTAGAGTAAATATACTTTTTGTGATTATCTGTGTTGTTCTTCTTCTTTACAGCCCACAAAGCAATGTGTATAATTCTTAAACATTTAAGCATGAAGTTGCAAATATTACTGGGAAAATAATTAAAGTACTGTTCTGCAGCAGATGTTAAATATTTTACAGCACTAGTTATCCCACAGATGTTACACAGGGCAGAACACAAAGCACAAATGAAGAGAAAATCATTTATTTGAAAGGCAACCAAACATATTCCACATGAGGGGAAACATTGGGATATATTGTTTTAAAAATGTTTACGTAAAAGCAATGAAACCACGTCGGCTTCCAAACGTGATATTCTTAGAGTCGACCTTTAGCGTGATATACTGTCTCGCAACTGAAGGAGCATTTATATTCACTTCATCTTGGGGGGGGGGAGGACGAGCTCTGCAGTCTAAAGAGTGTGTGTGTGTGTGTGTGTGTGTGTGTTGTGTGTGTGTGTGTGTGTGTGTGTGTGTGTGTGTGTGTTCATGAGTGTGTAAAGTGAAGGCAGTGTGAGTGGGGGGTGGGTGGGTGAGGTGATTGACAGTTACAGATGACCACAGCTGGTGTGGCCCCCTGGTGCCTTTTGCTCTGGCAATCATTGGATGTGATTGGTGGATGAGTGGAACTTATGGTGCAGTAGGCGGGTGGTCAGCTGGCATTAAAACATGCTGCAGTTGTTGAACAATGCATCAGAGGTCGAGGAATGCAGTGAAGGGGTAAGACAATGCTTTCAGCTCCTAGTCGGGTAATTCACTTGTATCAAGGCTGTGTGGTTGTTCTCTGGTTCTGTGCAGTTTAGATCTGTTTTTATGTGTGCTAAGATGTACATTTCTCAACTTAATTATCTCATTTACTCGAAGGATTTAACATTTGTTTGTATTTTCAGTGTTATTTGACTGAGATGAGGCTGTAGAGTGTTTGTCTAAGTCATGGTTTGAGACACGCATACTTAAACCCCTCTTATAGCTTTAAGTATGGCTGCAACTAACTAATGTTCATCATTACATGGTCTAATATTTTTTTCAAATTAACTAATTATTCATTCTGTAAAATGTCAGGAAATAGTTTAAAATGTCCATTAAAATGTCCCTGGTTCTTTTATCCAACCGTCTAAAAAAGGTAAATTTTACAATGGATGTAACATTATTTGGCAATTGTTTCAGTTCTAGCTGTTAGCAGTAGTGGAAGAGTTAGTCATATCTTTCACTTCACTAAAAGTAGCAATAAGATAGAAGAAATAAGTAAAATTCCTCCATTCAAACGTTTACTTACTCAGTAAAAGTACAGAAGTGTTAGAATGGCATCAGGATATACTTTATATATAAAGTGAAAAAAGTAAAATTTGTCAATTGTCAAGTTTTAGAATAATTTATATTATATGACTGGATTATAACTATTTATGCATGAATGTGTTATCACTTTCATTGCTGCAGCTGGTAAAGGTGAAGCTAGTTTTATTTGCTTTGTACAGTATCTCATCTTAACCTACAATAATACATCATGCTTTATTTAGTGATTCTGTGTTATTATGTTATTAATCAGTTCAAATCAAATAAATGCAGTGGAGTAAAAGTGTCACATGTCCCTCTGAAGTATAAAGCAGCAGAAAATGGAAATAATCTAGTAAAATACCTCAAAATTATACCTGCAGTGAAGTGTTTGAGTAAAAGTACTTGGTTACTTTCCACTACTGGCAGTTAAAGATTTTAGCTTAAACAAGCCTGTGGACATTTAGAGCAGAGGTACTTTTCAACATCGTGTGTTATCTGATGTTTGTTTATTCATCATAAACTATTAATTAAAACAATGTATTATGGTGACAGCAGAAGAGCTCTAGCAGTAACAACATAGTGGTTAGTTTGTTTACACTTCTGACATCTGATACCTGGTCTGGTCATTTAGTGACTGATTCCTCCCTCCCTCTCTCTCTCCTCTTTCTCTCTCTCCTCTCTCTCTTCCTCAGGGAGGCCCCACACAGGAGGGCGGCCCCGGTGGCGGCGACCCTGCCCTGCCTCAGGTCTACGCCCCTCCTCCCTCCTACCCACCGCCAGGTCAGGGTCCGCCAGCGTCTGCAGGCAGACTCCCACCTCTTGATTTTAGCTCTGCACATGCCAGTTCAGAGTACCCCGAACATCCCCAACTCAGAATCTATCAGGGCCCTCAGCTCGAAGGGGCGGAGGTTCTCGCATCCAGTAACACGGTAAGAACAGTTTGAGAAAGTAATTCACATCCCGACAAGAAATTTCATTCCCCAATAAAATATGATCTTCAGTAAGTTAATGTGAGAAGAAGCCCCGCTGCTGCAGGTACACCAGTAGGTCCTATCAGAGGAACATGGCCAGATAGAGTTTCCCTCTATATTTAGAGACCCACTTCCACTGTTGTGTCCATGTACGGGGATGCCGCTCACACTCAGTACAGCAAAGGGGGTGGGGGGGGTGGGGGGGCAGCTGAGTTGGGATTTGTTGTTGAAAATAAATCCCCACGTTTCCTTCTCCCCTGTGTCTTCTTTAGAAGGCAATAAAACAGATCACCTTTCAAGAGTATAGCTGTGAAATCTGTGTTGATATTGACAGTTTACAGTTACATGTGTTACACTTTGTATGTCACGTTTTTGGCTTGTTCATCCAATCCAGAAATCAAAACTAGAAGGTACAAAATGGTTTAATGTTTCCTTTTTGCTTAAGTGGGAAAAGTGAATTGAAATATAGTTTCAGTAGATTAGTAATGAGTTGTAAGTTCATTTTGTTTCGTAATCATATGGTGCCATTTTGTCTGCAATTATGTCCTTAAAGTCTTTGTTTCTTAAATAAGTGGAAACATCTGTGGAGTAAAATCTTTTCAACCTGGTTCCAATAAAAAAAAAAACCCTCTTCCAAGTATTTTATAAAATCAAATTGGTCCAGACAGAAATATCTTAACAATTTGCGGAGACATTTACTTTTGCCAGGAGAGGTTCACATTTTTGTTTTGATTGAAATATAACTATTACCATAGAATTTACTACGCATATTCAAGGGCCCAAGAGCAGGGCTTCCCAAAATCATTCATGTCATAGACCCCCACAAAAGATATAGATTAGACCATGGACCCCCTAGTTTTTCTCAACAAATTCCCTCTGAATATTTGTTTTATTTCTAGGCTTCAAGATTATAAAGTATTTGTAGTCAGTCAATAAAAACAACCAACCCCATTTCTTCTGTTGCTGTTCCAGTGTCCAAAAAAATGTGATATAAGTTATTATATAAGTACTTTTTCTGGGGATCCCCAACAACCCATTCAAGGACCTCTGTTGGTCCCCGAACCCCAGTTTGCCACCACTGCCCTAGAGGATAAATACTAATGACTTTGGTAATCCTCTGACCTCTAGCGCCATCATCAGGTCATAATTTCAGGACATTTTAATAACCAAATACCTCAAAACTGAAGACATTCAAAACTGAAGACATTCCCATCGGCCTCAGCCACTGGCTACTTTGTGTTTAGCGCTAATGAGCAAATGTTAGCATGCTGACAGGATAAACCAGGATTTAGCATATTAGCACGCTAACATGGCAAACATCATACTTGCTAATCATCAGCATATTAGCATTGTCATTGTGAGGATTTGTTAACATGCAGCACACGTTAGACTCTGGTGTTCTCCATACACTAGATTCTTTGATTATATAGGATTTAATTTGGAAACAGGTTGAAATATAAGATAATCAGGGTTTTAGGGCTCCATTTAGACGGATATCGAATCTCCTTCAGGTATGAAAACATCCAGTATGATAAGGACGGAGTGTGTTTAGTCTGCTCTGTCCTGCTGCAGCACATCTCTCTTCCTACTCTCATAAATGGTGTTTTGTGGCCCCATCTATATATTCTATTACTAGAGCCCCTGACATACTTGGGTCCGTGCTGATTTTCGGAGAAAGTTGAGACGTCGCCATGGAGGGAGGGGGTCAAAGGGGGAGGCTGACCAGATGACCCCCCTTTCCCCCCTCTGAAATATCGCTCAGGTCCAGAAACACATTTCTGCATCGTGACATGACACCACCACCCAACTCAACCTCTCTCTCCCTGTCTCCCACTCCCCTCCACTGTAGCCTGTCTGTGGTGTGTCTGTGTGTCTGTCTGTGTGTGTGTGTGTGTGTGTGTGTGTGTGTGTGTGTGTGTGCGTGCGTGGATGTGATGCTGTCTACAGTAGTTAGCCAAGGCAAGCCAGCGTAGCGTAATCCAGTGGCCTGTGTGTAAAACGCTCCCCCCTGTGTGAATGTGTCTCTGTACCTTTTTCTGTCTATCCCCAACTTATTAATTATGCCCCCTTTTCAAATGACCTTTAACCCTTGGCAGAAAAGCAGCACCGTGACCCCAGACTGACCCCTTGTGGAACGTTCAGTTTTGATCTCTGCCCCCTTTCCCCCCCCATCACCCTTCTTTCCTTTTCAAGCTTTTTGCGCACATTCTTTGCCTTGTTTACTTTGGTTTAATTTTATTCCTCACTGCTGCACTGAGGCCTTTTTACACTATTTGCCTCTTGATACTAGAATGCTAATACTCAAATCTTCACTTCTGCATAAAGGACTGCCACTTTTTTCACATTTCAGTATTTTTCCTGTAATTTACTCTTTGCTTTTTAATGTTTCTTTTCCAACGCGCTCCGCTCTCACTTCCTTGCAGACCTTTTTACTCTCTAATTTTCTTGTTTGGACTTCATTTGTCTTAAAAACATATATTTAACATTACTTTCTTTTTTACGCTGGTTGACCAACACACATACACGCACATACCCGTGCACACACTAGCATCGTGGTGCATTGTGGGATAGTGAATGTTTTGGTTTTGGCACATTAGGCCTTGAATTTTTCTGCATGGGGCAATTTTAATTAGCTTAATATTAGCATAGTTTTATATGTATTTTACAGATTGTTACAACTGCTTAGATAATATGATAATACTTGTGCACTAAGTTGCAGTCTTTCTTGTTTTTCAGGGGAGCTAAAACTTTATTTAACTCTCTTTGTCACAGCTTGAGTGAGCAAAAATAGTTTTAGTTTCAGACATATTTGTTTATTGTTAGTCTTTTTACTCCGACAGGCATGTATTCAGAGACGCCTCACTAAAATGGAGCCCTTTTCATGCCTCACATTTGCCTGAGAGGGATCACTGGTTGCTGAATGCTCTTTGAACTTTGGTTTGAATCACTTGACTTCATGAAAATGTTCTTTGCCTAATGCCATGTGATGCTTACGCAACTGAAGTTTTACACAAACAGAATTCTCTAAAAGACGTTGAAGAATACGGTTTCTGAACTGACTTTTATGGTTTTTTCCCTCCTTTTCCTTCTTTGCTTTTCTACTGATGCCCTCTCCCCGTTTTTTCCTCACACTCACTCTCATCCCATTCATACTCTTTCTTTTTCCATCTTTTGTTTTCCATCTTTCTGTTTTTGTTTGTTTTTTCACATCCTCTTCCTTCTTGTCCATTCTTCTTCTATCCACATGCTCGCTTCCTCCTCCTCCTCCTCCTCCTGTTTTCGTACTTTCTCACTGTCAGGAGGATGCTTTGGCCCCTGTGACCTCTGACCCCCAATCTCTGAGCGTGTCGGTATCATCAGGGGGCGGAGCAGGAAGTGGAAGTGATGAGGAGGGGTCAGGTAAGGCCCAACCGAAACGCCTCCACGTCTCCAATATCCCGTTCCGCTTCAGAGACCCAGACCTCCGCCAGATGTTTGGGGTATGAATTTAACTATCACAAATTTATACTGTTAAAAAAATGGAATATAATATTCATAGGTATGGTTTCCTTAGGGTTTAATCACCTGAAAATAAGAAGTCTGCCATGTTTCTATAGTAGCCCTGAATGGACAAACCAAGGCTATAGTGTTAGCCAGTGTTTTGTATTTGCAAGTTTCTCCTACACAGGAGAATGGCGAGGGAGTGGCATTCAGCAACTAAACAGTTAAATCCTGCGCACTGGTCCTTTAAATTATCTCCTCTGTGTATAAGTTAAATCTATTATAGTCAAATTAAATACTTTTCTCACATTTTCAGCAATTTGGCAAGATCCTTGATGTGGAAATTATCTTCAATGAGAGGGGGTCCAAGGTGAGCATCACAGAAATATTATCAGACTAGAAGAAGATTTTTAATGAACAAAACCAGAATATTAAAAACAATATGGCTGTGTGAACTTGCAGGGCTTCGGGTTTGTCACCTTCGAAAGTGCAGCTGAGGCCGACCGGGCAAGAGAAAAGCTGAATGGGACGATTGTGGAAGGGAGAAAGATCGAGGTGAGGGAGAATTTCCTGCTATTTGTACGTTTCCACTTTAATATTCTACATAATTGTGCTTTATGTGCTGTTCTGTGTCTCCCTAGGTTAACAATGCCACTGCAAGAGTAGTGACCAAGAAGCCCCAGACGCCTCTTGTGAATGGTGATATTTCAAGTAAGACATTGCACTGGATTCTGGGAGGCTTCTGTTTATATCTGGTGGAAGAGAAACTCACTCTCATTTCTTTTCTCTGTAGCTTCTGGATGGAAGATCAACCCTGTCATGGGGGCGATGTACGCACCTGAACTCTACACAGGTAAGTTCCTCTCTGTGACACTGATCTATTATTGTTATTAGATCACCAGCGTTGTGCAATCCCCTTTTTCTACAATTTGTTCCTCTCTGTTTCTTTAGTTGCCAGTTTCCCATACCCTGTAGCAGCTCCCACACTGGCCTACCGGGGCTCTGCGCTGCGTGGTCGAGGCAGGGCCGTCTACAACACGATTCGCTCTGCTGCAACCACACCTGCTGCTGTGCCCGCCTACCCCGGGTAAGACATCTGTGACCAAGTACAAGTGCCTGTTCTGTAATATTCATTCACTGGTAAACCTTTTAATATTGCTCTTTACTTTTATCAGGGTGGTTTATCAGGATGGACTGTACGGAGCAGAAGTTTATGTAAGTGGCTGTACACATTTGTTCATTAAAAGTCATTTTAAAGTGCTGTAGCCGTACTCATGTTATTTTATTTTTCCTGTGCAGGGTGGCTATCCTACAGCTTACAGAGTGGCTCAATCAGCGTCTGCTGCCACAGCAACCTACAGTGATGGGTAGGCACATCAGCACCACACACAGTCCTCGAATCAGTGTTTACTTCTGGTGTGACAGTCAGAGAATGAGGAGTCTTTTCTATGTATCAGGATTTATGGCTGTGTTTATTGTCTTTATACACTAGAGAGCCTAGTTTAGTTTTCAACTGCGTCAGAAGTATTAGTATCTGCCTCAACATGCTCTTTCACATTTTTACTATGTGGTTTTTGGGATAATTTCACTTGCAAACAGAAACATTTCACAAGTGATTTTGAGCCTTTCAAATTCTGTCTGTAAGAGACTGATTTTATGCTTTAAATATACATTTTATTGTGTAAAAGAAACTTTAACAAATTGGTACACAACTGCCATTTTGTGGGCTACAATTGAAATGTACCGAAACAACAATATATAAAATACTTTATGGATCCTTGGCAGTAAAAAGTTTTAAGATGAGTGAAAAACACATCTGAATACATTAAATAATACAGCTTTTTACTTTCGTTTCTTTTACTTTGACTACTTTTAGGCAACATTTAAAACAAAATGTAATTAAAGAGTGTGGAGAAAGCCACTGTGGGGGGGGGGACTTATAAAAAATATATAATTGAGCAGCTAAATGAATAAATAAAGAAGGTTAATGAGGAGGTTGAGGTCACGTTAGACTCATGACCTCAGCCTGTCTAAAAATCCTGGCTACTGCAGACAACAACATTCACATCTGTTTCTCATGTTTTTGACCAGATACGGACGGGTTTACACCACAGCTGCAGACCCTTATCACCACTCAGTTGGACCAACAACAACATATGGCGTTGGTACAATGGTGAGTCAGAACATACACAGCCAGCCTCTGTTGAAAGCTCTCATGTTACACCGTGTTAAGAACGACCCCCTGGTCACACCTGGCATACTGCTTCTGTCAACAGGCCAGTTTGTACAGAGGAGGATACAACCGCTTCACCCCATACTGAGCCGCCCCGGCTGTGGGAGGGGAGCTAGAGACGTCTCTCTTGAACTCTGGGATTGGCTGATCTGATGTGGACGCTGCAGGACAGATTGTGAGATCCTTAAACTTTGGAAATGTGGAAATGGTTTTACCTCCCGAATCCATCACAACCTCTCCTCGAGAGACTAAACAGACTGAAGTTGTAAATACCGTAGGACCCATTTACTGCCCATTCGACTGATGAATACTTAGCACCTGGAAGAGGGTGTTGTGTAATATATAAACAGTTGCTGAATTGTTTTCTGGATTTAAAGAGTGTTGGTAGATGGCTCACACTACGGGGGGGGGGTCTGAAAATACTGTGAGAAAGATTTTATTTTGTGAGTAATATCTGGGATTTTTCACGGGTCAAACTGTACAAAAAAAGAACATTTTGTGCAATGTTAAATGACTTATTTTTGATGGTAATTATTTACTAAAATCTCTGTTTGAGTGTTTGTGTGTGTGAGTGTGTGTGTGTGTGTGTGTGTGTGTGTGTGTGTGTGTGTGTGTGTGTGTGTGTGTGAGTGAGTGTGTGCGTGAGAGCATATGAGTGAGGTTATTGTTCCCGACTGAGAGACAGCTGTGACACTGGTATCATTATTACAAAAGCAGAACTAATGTTTGTCTGGATGTAGCTGGAATTTCATTTTGTCGTTTTATTTGCCTTTCTAACAATCTACCTCTCATACATTTCTAGCTTTTAATATACAGCTGTCATTATTAATCCTCTATCGCTTTTGTGTCTGTGGGCTTTCTTTCTCTTCACCTTTCTTCCTGTGAATCCTAACTAATATAGTTTTCTGTGGCTCTGTATCTCACTGTCCGACGAGCCTGTTACCTTTCTAGTCCTTTCTGTTATTTCTTCAGGGAGGTTTTTTTCTTTCCTGAGCTGCTCTAAAAAAAAAACCCCTGTTTTACATCCACACAGTCATACAAAATTCACAGCTGGGAGTTGGAGTTAAGAAGCAGTCTTTTGTTGTTGGCTTTACTACACAATGTGAAGATTAAAGGCCTCGCTCAAAGGCTTGCTTCTCCCATCTTATCTCATACAACTGCCCACTGTGTATTCTACTGTTGCCCTGTTTCACTCTTTACTGTCCTCTTTTTCCTGTATTTTCTCTCTATTCTTCACTCAGAACTGCTGAACGCCTCCTTTACTTGTGTTGATAATTTCCTCTTGGCCTGGTCTTTGTTTCTGTTGCACTCTTTTTCTCTGCTGTGTTTGATGTTTACCTCTAAATAAAACTTGTTTTCTCTCTCTCTTCCTGTTCTGTCCTTTATTGATTCGTAACATTTCCCATCTTTTGTTTCTTCACATCTCCTTATTCACATGGTTGTTTTTTCTGCTGCATTAGAAGCAACAACTTGTGATTTATTGGCCATAAAATTTAATGTAAAAGCATAATCTCCATCAGGCCTCACAGAGAAACTGAAGCAGCCTCTTTCCTTCTACTCCTTGCTTGTATTTACTCTGCTTCCTACTTGTATTTCTTTTCTCATTTCAGTGCATACTTCCTTGTCAGCTCACTTCCTTTTTTTCCCTCTAGTCTGCTCTTCTCTCTTCTTCCTTCAGTCGTTCTCTGCACCACTACAGGAAACGCATATTCATGAAATTCAGCCTCCGTCTGTCTGTCTTTTCTATTTTTTCTTCTGAGTTCTTTATTTTCTTTAGTAGTTGTACTAGTATAAGATTTGCCATAGACTTTAATCTTCTTTCTGCTTTTTAACTCTAATATTTTCTCTCTGATTGGCTGCAACGTTTGCTTATGACTTTCTCTCTTTTTGCTTAAATCTTCTCTTTTCATTTTCTCTCTTCTGCTCCTGTATACTTTGTAGGTATAGCTTTAATTTCTTGTCATTAAATTAGCTTTTTTGCTCTTTTGCTCATTAGTGCTTAGTTTTCTCTCTGTCTTTAGTTTATTTTTATAATTCTGAGCTCTACTTTTGCTCATTTCTTTTTCCTCTGTAGTTGCTCTTTTGCTCTTCATAGTTTCCTCCTACTGGACAGCCAGGCTGTGTTTCATGACAAATCAAATTGTAAGAAGTCTCAAACTGTGCAGTTGAGATGAATTACACAGCTGTAGATTTGTAGCTTTTAATTCACCTTTAACGATAAAACTTTGTAATTATATTTAAAGTAGCTTTTATAACTAATGTTGTTATATGGGGTTTAATGAAGTCAAGTAAAATAACACTTTATTGTATTTTAAAACTTCCCTTAGTGGTTTATGCAGAAACGTCTTACTTTGATTCTTTTTCCACTTTCAATTTAGTTTTCTGTATAAAGCTTTTAAACTTTTTTCTTGCCGTTTCCTCTTTTCTTTATTTGCCTATTTTCCCCCTTTTAAACAGCATTACTCAATCCTCTATTCTTTTAACTGATTGCATGTATTTGAACATATTCATTTCTTCTATATTTGCTTACTGCTGTATTTTCTATCCTTTCCTCTCTAATTTCAACTTTTCTCTAAGTTTTTCTCATTTCTCTGCCTAAAAACTAACCTTTGTATTTTTCCAAGTACACCATTCAATTCATTTTCATGACTTTTACCTCAAATGTGTCAGCTCAATGTGTCGCATGAAAGGAAAAATCTGGAAGGAAATGCCTTTATTGTATCAAGCAGCCAAGCTAGTCTCTTGCTTGTATGTTTTGTGTTACAGGTGCCTCTCACTCAGTATTTATAACATTTCACAATAAAGTTAATGAAAAACTTGACTGAGGTTCTGAGACTGTTTCCTGCTCAAATTGTTGCTTTTGTTTTTTCCATTTATGTATCATTTGTTGTCAGTTCTTCTTGTACGTATTTCATGAAAGACAAACATCAACACTGGATGCCCTTTATATTTTTATTTTATTAATTTTTTTCAAAATATATACACAATATTTACAAAATGGCAGTTTATCATGTCAGATCTGTAGAGGCATGGGATAGGGAGGGAGGAGGCATTGCAGATAAACCTTCAGCTTCAGTTGTTAGTGAGCTGCAACATAAACTATTAAAGCATTGCAGACGCAATACAATACTTACTAGTGAGAGTGACTAGTTGCACATGGCAAACGGTCACAAACATACTAAACATAAAAGGAAAAAGAATGAGAAGAGAACAAATAGTGGTTAGAGATTTGTAGGAGGAGATGAGGAGGGGGGAGAGGAGGAGAGGACAGCATGCGGGGGAGAGGAAGTAAGAGAAAGTGAGAACAGACAAATTCAAATGAAGAGTTAAAAAGAAAACGGCAGGAAATGAACACAGCTGAAGTGAGGGACGTGGGAGTTGTTCCAGTGTCAAATATTGAGGAAGGAGTTACAACGACTGATGGGAGGTATACAGTAAACATGGGAGCAAAAAAATACTGAAAACATGACTCAGGCATTGGAGAGGAAAAAAAAAAAAGGAGCATCCAAAATGAAAATGTGTACTGTTAGTTGTCTGGGGTGAATTTTCTACTAAAAAAATAAAAATAAAATAAACAACAAAGCAAACATCCTGGTGTTTCAATGCTGAAAACCTGAGACATCAGATGTACACACTTTGACCATGTGTAAAAATCTTACATTTACACAAACCAAAGGCAACAAACAACCATCAGTCAAGCTCGTCACATGTGAAGAAACCAAAAAGAGTTAATTTCTTAGCATGGGAGCACACACCAGCACTTGTCAAATGAGAAACTGTCTAAAAGAAGAAGATTGCATACTGAGAAAAATAAAATATTACTAGATGTAGGTTGTATTTCGAGGATAAGGACGTGTTCTATATGTCCAGACACATTTTAGATGAGGGATTAAACTCTCAAAACTAAACTCTAATGCAACTCTGTAACTGACTTGAGAAGGTCTGTCAATCTAGCAAACACAAGTCAGATGAATCGCATCTATAAATAAAGAGAGTGAAAGAAAAGAAAACCTAAATTATCACAATTTCTTTACCAGAATCAAATCAATCAAAAACTGTAAATGCATCTGGACAAACAGAAGACCACAGTACATGTTGACTTTGTCATCACTGTTTTTAAAACTAAACAGGAATCATGTTGCACAGAAAGACATTTTAAATATTTGGGTTAGCAGCAAACCACATTAGCAGCACATCAACATTTTCCACATTTCATAATGTGAGGCTCCCATGTATTTTAATCAGCTGTATGGCTTCAACTTCAGTGGGTCAAACCAAGACTTTGGATTGCTCACAATTCACTCTCTCCGGCTGGCGTCTGGAGGTGGTTCGCCCACTTTATCATCACTCCGTGTGCTCCTGCAATGCAGCAGTACTACGAGCTGAAGAATGAGAAGTCTGGTGGTGTGTGAGAGAAAGGTTTAAGGGAGTGAGGGAAGGGAATAGCAAAGAGGACAGGGGATCAGATAAATGAAGGGGGGGAGGGGAAGAAAGAAAACATGTTGAGATCATTGTCATTACAAAACATTTGCTGAAATAATGAACAGTTAACAGTCGGGAAACAAATCCAGTTTTACAGGAACATTTTGTCAACCTGATAGATATTTGTCGTTTTGTGGAAGTTGTTAACAATATGTGCGTTTGGCAATGGTGGTCCCATTCGTCGCTCAGTGTACACTAGCTTAGTATGGAACAATCTGCCAACACAAAACTGCCACAAAACAGGCAAGTGACACAAATGTGGCAACGTGTTGTTTTTTTCTTCCTGGAGGGACGATTTTAACAACCAAATGTTTCATATCACTGGAAACTGAGCATGACATCGCGCCAAAATCTGGTTCAAGAGCCTGTGCTAATGTTTTCAGGCTGTGCTGGGACAAACTAGCACTAAAAACTGGCAATTATCAACTCCACCACTACATCCACTGTGATGATGATGATGATGAAGACATAACACACAACCCGATCCAGACCTGTCTGCATTTAAGTTTACATATTCACATAAATGGTCTAAGAAGAGTTTCGCAAAACAAAAACAAAAATCACACTTACCCGTGTGTGAACAAAAAATCCTACACTACGCACCAATTGAAAAAAAATCACAGAAATATAATACAATATTTACAAAAATATACTGTTGACAAGTAAACACGTCGATTGTACAGCAGGCCTGCATCCACTCATGTTCAGGTGAGTTACACCAGTCTTAAATACCTCAGCCTCAAGATTTCTACAGTGGTAATTAATACTGTTCAAATGAAATAAAATTATGAGGAACAATGCTGACCCAATTTTATAAATTATAAACAATCATTCTATAGGTGGATGTTATAGGATATGGTGGAAAGTCTTAAATATTCTTTAGGGGTACATTTCCTGACATTTTCACGCTGTCTAATGACGACTATTTTAAGTCTCCTAATACATTTTGTTTTTCCAATTATCACCTAAGACATTGCGCACCACCACAATTATTATTCTAGATCCTTTAAGTACAAACCTTCTGAAGATAAATGGACCAAAATCACATCAGAGAAAAATCCACAACTCCACTGCCACAAAGAGAAACATTTGATTTTCATTTAGAGTGAATAGTTTCCATAGACTAGAATGAAGCTACAAATGCGGTTTTCATTTTAGAACATTTTATCAGAGCTACTGGAAAAGTGGACATAAAAGCACTTTACTCAACTTGGATCTCCCTTTTTATTAATTTACCGTCTACATCAGTTTAAAACTTGTGTTTTGATTTAAATACTTTACCATATCACTATTACCATATCAACAACTGTGTGTGTCTGTGCAGCAACAGTTCTGGGATGTTACTGCTTTTTTGTCATTCTAATATATTATCAAATGTGTTATACTTAATTCATCTCTTCAATATCAACTTGTATGTTTTTATAAAAATCTGCTTTGCAGCTCCATAATATTTTTTTCTTTCGTTGAGATAAAGGCCAATACTGCTGTCCAAAAAACACGAAACATGAAACATTTAACACAGCAAATGTGAGGCAACATCTCTGTTGTGACGTCATCCACCTCCTTCCAGAGAAGTCCCTTTCGCTTACCAGCCTCGCAAACACCAGAGCCAGATGTAGCATACAAACCACTCGTTGTTATTCCCTCTGGAAGAAGCAGCAGGTTTCCCACAGATGCTCCGCTGCGCAGAATTCACCCTCAGCTGTATTTGAAGATGGCAGCTTAGCTGCCCCTGTTTCTTTTGAATAACAGCTGGTGAGGTGGAGACATTGATGAAAGATGGGCTTCATCACTGCGTTGATCGGGCTGTGCTGGATTCCAGCTGCTAGCAGAACTTCTACCTGAGGATGATGGAGGCAGATTCCCTCTCAGCATCTGGCTGCTTTGATTCTGGAGATGGAGCTCAGCTTCGAGTGTATGGAGGAGTGAGGAGATGATGAAGAACACTTGCCTGTATTCGTCATCATACACAAAGTCAATGCTCATTAGATTGAGACTTTCCCCAAATGCTGGCCAACGACTTCATAACTGACCAGGAAATGACTACTACTTCATTAACTCAGGAACAATACTTTAAAACTTCAGTCCATTGCTTTCAGGGGCCATATGATTGGGGATATGGAGCAAGATGAACAGCCAACTGTAGATACCTTGAGGAAACTGGGTGCAGGGCAGGACATACAAACCACCACCTCTTCTTTCAGACAAACTGCTGGTATCTTCTCTCCTCGCTGTCTCACAGTCTCTAAGAGAAGAATGTAAAGATGACTTGATTCTGCAGGCTTGACTTCAAACAGGAGACAGCTGGATGACTGACTTGAAGCTTCTTTGTAGTTTCCTTTTGGTTGACAAGGCTTGAAACTTCAGGTCTTGGAGCTGTTGACTTGAGGGAGGAAAAAACATGACAGAACACTGTTAGCTTTGACATCTGATGGTGGTAAAGGAACAGGAACCATGTGGGTGAGTGCCTCTCTGATCTGGTTCTGTGACTTCTTGTCCTCTAAGTGCTGAGATTACATGGTAATCCATAATCTAAACTGTTCACTCACTTTTCTGGCATTATGAATGTAGCGAGAAATCTTGGGCATTAGGCTAACCTACAATATAAGAGTGACAGTGTGTGCAGACTCGCTCGGTTCTTATTGGAGTGTTAGAAAAGGACATCTGCCTTATAAGATCTGAATCTTGCAGCAGAGTATTCTAACACATCTTTCTATATGGGTCTTCAGTAGTTGTTAGCCTCCCAACTACTCTATCTGAACTGGCTGAGGTGTCTGAAGTGCAGTGCATTGTATTGTATATGTAAGGATCCATGATGGTCCCCTAGCAACTCCCACCCCCACTCCCTCAGGAGGCAGCCAAAGAGGCTGTGCTGGTTTTGCAGTCTATCTTTTCGGGGTCAGAGGGTGTAAAGGTGACACCTAGCCCAGTAAGAAAGGCCATACAGGAGTCTAAACAAGTGAAGCCCAGAGCAGACTGCACATACTGCACCGGCAAGTCGGGCCTGAACCTGTGGACACAGGAAACAGAGAAACGGAGATTAGCACAGTTATAAAAAAGGACCTAACATTGCAAATAGACCTTTCTGGAAGTTGACTTACGTTTTGACCATGGCCCGAAGTGCAACCTTTCTTTCCCTCTCTACAAACTTGTCAATGAGGTATGAAGCCATGCGCGGGGCTTTCAGGTACAGCTTAAAGAAACGGCGATAGTTTCCTAACGCCCAAGCAGCACGAAGTTCAAGAGCATGACACACACACACATCTGCCCGCAGCGCCGGGGTCAAGTACACCAACTCAGTGGTCAGATCTGAAGGGGAAGATAAATGTTAAAAAGAGG